CAGGTCCAACTCTTCTTTCTGTGGGACCTTGGCAGGAGCAAACTGAAGCTTCTGAGAGACAGGCAGATGGTCAGTTTGCTGAGAGTGAGCACAAATCCAGTTCTTGGGGAGGCTAGGGAGAAGCCTCTTTGTTGAGAGTTATGAAGTACTCAGCTACTAGAGAGTTGGCAGTAGCATCTAAATCCCTCCCTCCTTGGGATAAGTATTGGGGCCAGATAGCACTGAGCCTTCACATTGGGGTTCAGTTGGCTATAGGGAAATGCCGGTAGGGAAAAATTTATTAGCCGGAAACAGACTGGGTCAGTTTCTAACTCAGGCAAGCAGTAAGACCCTCCCTAGCAAGGTGTAAATGAGTGGGCTCTCTGCGTCACATTGAAGAGTGAAGAGAAATGGAATGAAAACTGTAGAACTCTGGTTACTTCTTCAACATAATAGAAAACCGGCCTGCCATATAGTTTGTCTGTTTCTTTTTTTTTGAGACATGGTCTCACTATGTATAGCCCTTGCTGGCCAGGAACTCATTATGTACTCCAGACTGGCCTTGAACTCACAGAGATCTGCCTGCCTCTGCTCCCCAAGTGCTGGAATTAAAGGCCTGTGCCACCACATCTACCATGTAGTTTATGACTTTGAATGACCTATTACTTGTCCCCAACTTGTATGCTGGATTGACTTCTGTTACATTCTTACTAGTGTATGGATTCTTACTAGTGTATGGATTCTCAGAATCTCCTCCTTTACAACTGGCTCTGGCTTTCTTTCTGTGCCTGCTTGTATCTCCCTGGACTACATTTCTAACTTAAGAGTCCTTACTCAGGAATTTATTTTACTGTGGCTTTCTGCAGGGTGGGAGGCCCTTTGGACTTGGTCATAGGCTCTTTAATGGTATTACAAACAGTTGTGTAATAAATGATACCATTCTTCCATTTTTGTATGCCAAATTATTTGCTTAGATTACATTAATGAAGTTGCTGAATTAAGGATATACAGTTTTGAATGTCTCAATACATATTTGCAAATTATCTTCAGAAAAACTTACACTCTAGCAGATTATATAAATATTCCTGGTCCTGAACTCTTTCTAGTAACAGTGTGTGTGTGTGTGTGTGTGTGTGTGTGTGTGTGTGTGTGTGTAATATTCATTGGTTTAATAAAGATTGCTTGAAGTGTCAGAATGCAAAGCCAGCCACACTGGTTAACTATAGAGACCAGGCAGTGGTGGCACACACCTTAATCTTAGGACTCAGGAGACAGAGGTAGACAGATCTCTGTTAGTTGAAGGCCACCCTGAGCTACACGAAATTGATCCAGTTTGAAACAGAAACAGCTTATACAAAGGTGATCTCAGCACTTGGGATCACAATGCCTTTAATACCAGGATTTGAGAGGTATAAAAGGAAGAGGCAAAGGGTCTCATGAGAGAATTAGTCGCTAGCCATATTGAGGAGAGCATAGCAGTCTGAGAGAATCTGAGGAGCACTGAAGTCGGGAGCAGTCTGAAGATCACCCCTTTGGTCTAAGTATAGGTAGAGGTAAGAGCTAGTCAGCTTGAAGTTTGAACCCCAAAATCTGTCTTTGGGTTTTTATTATTTGTATTACATCTATCTAAAAGTCGGTTAGTTTATGTGTGCTTCTAGTTTTAGCTATTCAGGTTTAGGCAGGAAGATAACTTGAGCCCTGGCTATTCTGGGCAATATAGTGACACCCATTAGAAAACCAAAAAATGTTTGTCAGTGTTATAAAAACAATATCTTAAATTTTTTAAAAGATTTTATTTTATGTGTAGATAGTTTTGCTTTCATGTACTTTGCTTTCATGTACTTTCATGTACTTTGTGTGTGCCTTGTGCCCACAGAGGTCAGAAGAGGGTGTTGGATCCCCTGGCACTGAAGTTACAGATGGTTGTGAGACACCTTGAGGGAACTGAACTTGAATCCTTTATAATAACAGTCAGTGCTCTTCATTGCTGGGCCATCTCTCCAGCCCCTTTTCCCTTGAGACAGGGCCTCACCACGTCTCCTTATTTTGTGTGTATGCATGTGTGTATATGTGTATGAAGGTATATCTGTGGAGGTCAGAGGACAACTTTTGTTTTGAGCTTTCCACCTTGGTGAGACAGGGTCTCTCATTGTTTCTGCTGTTGTGCTGTGTAATTCAGGCTAGCTATCCTGTTGGCTTCTGGGTGATCTGTCTCCTTGTAGGAGGGTTGGGATTACAGGTGCATATAAGGATTTTTTTAAACATGGGCTTTTGGAATTGAATTCTGGTTGCTCAGCTTGTGTGGCTAGTGCTTTTACCCACTGAGATATCTCCCCGACTACTGATTGTTTTTTGAGACTGGTCTCATGCAGTCCAAGCTGACCTTGGACTTGAATGTAGCTTAGGAAGATCTTGGACTCCATCCTGCTCTCATGTCTTAATTGCTAGGATTACAAGTGAGTTGCTGTGGAATAGTCTATTTGTACTGTTGTATGTTGCTCCCATTGGTTTAATAAAGAGCTAGATGGTCAATAGTTAGGCAGGAAGAGGTTAGGTGGGACTTGAGGACAGGGCAAGAGCTCTGGGATGAAGGAAGTCAGAGTTCCCAGAAGATGTGGGGAGAAGCAAAATGAACATACCACACTGAGGAAAGGTATCAAGCCACGTGGTAAAACATAAGTAAAGAAATATGGGTTAATTTAAATTGCCAGAGCTAGTTAGTAACAAGCCTAAGCTATTGGCCAGGCATTTATAATTAATAATAAGTCTCTGTGTGGTTATTTGGGAGCTGGCTGGTGGGACAGAAAATTCTGTCTACAGTGAGTGTCACTACACCTGGTTTTATACAGTGCTAGTGATTGAACCCAGGGTCTTGTGCATGTTAGGCAATTATTCTGCCAACTGAGCTACATTCCCAGCCCATAAATTATTTTTTTGTTAAATTAGTTGAACATTCTTTTATGCTTATTGGCTATTTAAATGTCCTGTCAGATATCTTTACCTGTTTTCTTTTAGAATGCATGCTTCTTGTCTCCTTTCTTTAGCCAAAAAAATGTTAATTGAACACCTTATATACACAAGGGCCAGACACTATTCTAGGTCAACAGAATGGCAAATCCTATATTAAGGAGCTTGTTTTTGAATGTAGTGGGGCATAAAATAGAAAACAGTAGAAATAAGGGCTGTAAAGCAAATAGAAATGAGTGGGGTGGGGTGCTGTGGCGAACATGGGCAGGGCAGGGTGTCTTCACTGAAGACACACTCTGCTGCCACCTAGCAGGGGCAGGGCCGGCAGAGGGAACATGAGTGCTGAGGCCCCACGGCAAACTGTTTCCATGAGTGATTAGTTTGGTTAGGGAGAGTGAGACATTAGATGAGTTTGAGAGGTAGCAAGAAGTGAGATGGACATAAGAAAACAGACCATCCTGATGGAGATGAGGGGGTGCATGGGGAGCTCAGAGTAGTGAGGTGACATGATTTGCCCCACTATTTTTAAAGACTATTAGTGGTAGTGAGTGAAGACTAGACTTCAGGGGACAGTGGTGCAGTCTAGATGTTTCCCAAGAGACTTGTCATGGCATAGATGAGGTTACTGGGTGTGTTTTGAACACAGCCTGGGTGCTGATGAGTTGAATGTGGGTGTGAGCTGAAGAGAGGTTAGACTCCGATGGTTGGCAGAGTGCTTCACCACTCACTGGGCGGGGGAGGCACCTTAGTGACTTGCAGGCCTTTTATGTGATTAAGTGTCATAATCTTTCATCTAGACAGGAAAGTCCCCCCCCCCCATGGCTGTTAATCTTGTTAGTGTCTTGCTGTTCAGAAACGTCAAATGTTTGTTTTGTCATGATAGTCTTTCATTAAAGTTTTTGGTTTTGCTGTCGTGTCTGGAAAAAATTCCAAATTGATCTCTCCTGCTTTCTCTAAGTACTCTTAAAATTTTGTATTTGCATTTAATTTGGGTGAAGTTAATTTTCATGCATGGTATGAATTACACATTCAACTTATTTAGGTTTTCTCAAATAATTATCTCGTTAGTCTAGCATCATTAAGAAATTTGGTCTCTGCTACAAGAAATTATTATATCATTTCCCCAGAATTGGGAAAGAGGGTACTTGTGGCAGGTTCTATCAAAAGGTATTCTGACCTGAATTAAGGTTTAACATCCTCCTGGCTTTGTCTTTGATTGCTGATACAGTGACCATGATGTCCCAGTTAGCCAGGTTGTATTTCTCTCCTTAGTCTCTTCCATTCCCTTAAAAGATGTTTGCCTTAGGAAATGCTTTTAGAGGGCTGGTAAGATGGGTAAAAGCACTTGATGACCACAGAGACCTAATGACCTGAGCTCCATCCCCAGAACCACTGCAAAGGTGGAAGGAGAGAACTGACTCTACAAAGTTATTTTCTGGTTTCTACACACGTCATGTCACACATATGCCTGAATTCACATGCACATATTCACACAATGATAGTGTTGTAAAAAAGAAATAAATTGACGTTTATCAGTTTGTTCAGTGATCGAGAGTTCTGCCCCTTGTTTGCATCATGTGTGTTAATGACCTGTTTTCTTTTGTTTTGGGACTGGATACCAAACTGAAGACCTTACACTTGATAGGCAAACACTCTACCACTGAGTTCATCCCCTGTCCATTGTGACCTAATTTTAACCACATGTCCTGCTATCAAATATGTTTTGCTGTTGCTTCACTGTGTCAGCTGGTAATTGCTCTAAAATGATCAACTCCAGTTTGCTTTGGCAATACAAAATGAGTGTAGTATTCTCTTTGCTGTTCATGTAATCATAGTGTAGATTCTTAAGCCTGTGTGTGTGTGTGTGTGTGTGTGTAAAATTTTCTGGTAATAACTGGGAGTTGTTCTTACTGACAGTGTTGACTGATTCTTGTAGTTGGTAAAGTATTAAAAGCTATAGAAGCAAATTCTAGCATGCATCTTACTGCCTTAGAATATCTGCAAGGCAGGTTGCACTTAAGTCGTCTTCAATGTTTTCTTTGCTTTTTTTGTAGAGAGGGAAATACGATGTTCCTAAGTGGCTCTCTCCTAGTAGCATTCTGCTTCTCCAACAGATGCTTCAGGTAAAGTTTGTTATTTATTTTTAAATAATAAAAGCCCATTGAAATCATTTGATTTAACTTTTAATGTATCTATGGGACTGTTGCATTTATCAATATCTATTAGCTTAAAACGAATTCCATTCATGTATCTTGTTAATATCCTCTCTGAGACCTCAGCTAATTATGTTATAAACACAGCTGCTTTAGACTTTACCGATCTTTGATGATTTGCTTTTTTAAAAGCCTTTATTTACTTATTTGTTTATTTAGTGATCATTCTGTTTTCTCTAGCTTTTGTTCTCTTCACTGTTTTCTTGTTTCTAATCTTGTATATTAGGCATATAGAAACTACTGAACAAATGCTTGTATGAACTGATGTGTAGTCTGTGGGCCCTGTGATCTAGTGTGCTTTTCAAACTTCAACATGTGTCAAAATTGCCAGGTGGGCCTGTTAAAACACAACTTACCAGTCCCCAACCCAATTGTCTGATATAACAAATCACAGGCAGGACTAAGCATTTGAATTTCCAAAAGGCTCCTGAATGGTGCTGATGCTGATGGTTTTTGGAGCCACTTTGCGAATGACTCTTTGGGATGATGGTGAAAGGCAGAGTGCTGAAGACTAGGTATTTTCCCTATTAACCAATCAGTAAGCCTACCTTCTAAATTGTGATCTATAAAATGGAATGGGCATGGCTGAGCCTACCTTACTGCTCTGTCATGTATTTTGGATACAATGAATTGGAAATACTTGGAAAATAGTGAATTATTCTATTTATTATGTTACTTGAATACCTTCCAGTTTTCTATCGATTAAGTCATCTCTACCTTTAATTTAAAATGTACCTCAGGCTCACCCACCTTGATTAAGTAGAACCAGACCACCAAATCTCCATAGTGAGATTGAAAAATGCCTCGGCCTTTCTTCTAGACCCCAAAACTTAATCTTTGTTGATTAATTTCTCTCTCCTCACATTTGAACATCACAAATGGAAACGAAAGGTGTGCTTTTCAGCTTGTTCTGTGTGATTGTGAGTGAATCGGAAGTAGAGATTGCATATTCAGTGTGAATGCCCTGCATTGCGCTTGCTTGAATACTAAACTGGTGAATATTTCCCATGAATAGGTTTTCCAGCAAAAAGACTATTACATCATACAATAGATTGACTGAACTTCATGAATAATGTCCATACCAATGAAGTTCGTGTTTGTTAAACATTTATCTTGTAGGCCTGTGTTGGTTGCTATAGTTTTCTTGCCTCAATTGCCTTTATAAAAGAATTCATTCCAAGGCCATTTTAAGTTCTTTGACATCGTTGTTTGTGAAGATAACGTTTACATCTGTTCTGGTGCATTTTGAGTTCTCAGGAGGAAAGGTGTTGTAGTCTCTGTTTGAAATGTACTTCAATGGCCACTAGGTGGACCCAAAGAAACGGATTTCTATGAAAAATCTCTTGAACCATCCTTGGATCATGCAAGATTACAACTGTCCAGTTGAGTGGCAAAGCAAGACTTCTGTAAGTATAATGAATCCTAGTAGTTTGTGTGACTTCAGGACCTGTAATGATGTGCTCTAAATATGAAAGAAAATGTATTACCTGGATTGCTCTTGGGAGACTTACAGCCCAGTCCTATATAACCTCTCAGTCTTTGGGCTAGTGAGTGGTTGTTACACCTGTACTACACATGAGACTCACCTGGAACTTTAAAAAGCAGGGACTGGCTGGAATAGTGACATGTGCCTCTAGTTCCAGTAACGTAGGAGATGAGAGCAGAAGAATCAGGAGTTTAGCACCACCCACCACCAGCAGTTCTGCTTTCCATCCCATAATACTTAACTAGTGTTTTAAAAGCTCCCAGGTGTTTTCTATGTGTAGTTAGGTTTGTGAACAGTGCTCTGGGAGTCTTGAAGGAGTTATTTAACTCTGCTTAACCTGTTACTCATCACTAGAAATAGGTTCAACCATTTCTGCTTCCCAGAGTAGTAATAAAATTACACCAGTTTTCAGACATCTGAATTTGAGGAACTTTTTTTGTACCCTTAATATTTATTTATTAATTCATTAAAAAATAACAGTAAGAGTTGAGTGTAGTGACACACGCTTGTAAACCCAGCATTTGAAAAGTCGAGTCAGGAGGATTGCAAATTTAAGGACAGCCTGGCCTGTGTACTGAGACTGTTTCAAAAGACAAAAAAAACAGTAATCAATAATCTGTTACATATCACGAGTAAGTGTTTTTGTGATGAAAAATCAATTTGATAAAGGAGTGGCATGTTGATGTCTTTACAAGTTTCTGTGAAGTCTGGCATAATAACAGACACTTGTATAGTCTCCTGTTCCTGCATTTAGAAAATACAACTCACCCAGACTGAGAGGGAACAGGGGGAGTACTTCAGTAGCCATTTCAGATAGTTTCTGATAATTCCTTGAAGTGTGTCATTTTTTAAAAAATATTCCTTTTAGTTCACGTGTATGAGTGCTTGCCTACATGTGCATATGTATGTGCATCATATGACCAAGGAGGACAGAGGGGAGCATGGGAGCTCTTGGACCTGGAGTTGCAGATGGTTGTGAGCCACCATGGGGTTATGGGAACCGAACCCTGGTCCTGAGCAAGAGTACTGAGGACCATCTCTCTCTAGCCCCCAGTTTGGTAGTCTCTTAAAGATTAATTGCAGGTGGAATATGAAGTCAGAGGAGTCACTTTATACTCTCCCATAAAACCCATTAGTCTGTTCATGGGCTCTTTTTTCCTTGTACTATTTTGTACTGGTCATTTGGAAAATACTTGTGCATTGAGTGGTGCAGTTTTCCAATGCTGACACCTTGCCAAACACAGCATTAAAAAGTACCACATTCCCTAAAGTCACTACTGATCTCATTGGAAAGCACATTTTCACTGTTGGAAAGCTGTCAAACTTGTGTGAAAGACACAAGTTTTCTAAAATTCTTAACTTTTTCTTGAAAATAAAATTGCATTATTGGCAACAAATACCATCAGTCAATTCACTTTGTTCGGTTTTGACAAAGTATTTCCCAATTACCGAAACTGAAAAACCAGTAAGAAGTGGTATTCTATAACTAAAATGGCTGATTGAAGCTTTACCCTGGTCACATAGGTTCTTTGCTCCAGACAGCAATGGTTTTGCTTCTGACATTTCCATCTTATACTAAAAATACACATGTTCAGTTTTGACATGTAATAGAATTCTTTTCTTTGCTTCATCAAAGACTTAATCAAAGACTGGCTTGTTTGGGGAACTGTGAGTGTATGACAAAATGCCCTGTCTTGGAACAGTCTGATTTCTTTCTATAGGATCACCAGTTTCACTCATTGTCTTTGTGCTATCAGTTCAAATGTCAGCACTGTGAAATGTGAGAAATAGTGTTATAGAAATAGTGTTGTTCCTGGAGGCCCTCAGAAGACAAAGGCTCACACTTTAAAAACTGGCCTAATGTACCTGCCCTCTGAGTTCTCACGGGTACATGTAATGCACACATGTGTATATACCATATATGCACCATTTACACACACACACACACACACACACACACACACACACACACAGAGTCTCACTATATATGTAGCTAGAAAAGGGAGGGAGTTTTTGTAGCCTTTCCAGATAATTGAGACTTTTCTCCACTTCTGCAGTGGTGTATGACATGCACATGGATTGGAATAGCTTGGTGGGGGCGGGGGTGCATGGTGTTTCAGACATATCACATGTAGACAAATGGAGCAATTGCATTCTGTAATAGTCACATCAGTGAATATAATTTCTCTTCCCAGTAGCTAGTTAGTCTTAGAAAAGTAGACCTTTGCTTCAAGCCTCTACTCTTCTCTCCACTGTTAGGGCCATACAGATCAAACTAAAATCCCTCTTGAGTCTCCTTTGGTGGTTAACTCTTACTGTATCTCTTATTCATATTCTCCCTGGACCTCCATGATGTAGTTGATATCTATTGAATAAATGCAGCTTAATCTAGAGGTTACCAATGCTGAGAACCCGAGTGAGTGTCTGAGCAGTTCAGCAGAAGGAACAGGGAAACTGATGTGCCCTTTGTGAGATGGAGATTGGGGGTGCAAATGCCTGTGTTCAACCATTGGGGGTCATCATTTCTCCATGTGTAGAAGGCTTTGCATGTCTTTTGAGCCACGATTCTAATAGGATACATCACCGTTCATGTTAGGAAAGGTACCCAAATGAAGCCAGTCTCTTTCATCGCTTGTTTGATTTTTGAGACACAGTCTCATGTAGCCCAGGCTGGCCTCAGACTTGCTATGTAGCCAAGGCTGGCTTGGAACTTCAGATCCTCCTAACTGTGCTCCTGAAAACAGTCTCTGATTTAAACATCAGAGGTTTGTGGGTTTGTTTTATGTTCTTTTTTTTTTTTTTTAATTTGGGGCATAGTATAAAGTAAAACATAATTTTGAGTGTTCCCAGGGCAGACGGTTTTATTTACATCTTAATATAATTGCTAGTCAGCTGTGGTAGCATACATGTATAATCCAAGCTCCTTGGGAGGCTGGGCAGGAGGATGACAAATTTGAGGCTGATTTTGGAATCATGGTGAGACTGTGTCTTGGGAAAAAGAAAGGAAAACAAATAACTGCTAAACTGGATGTGCTGGCACATACTTGTAATCCTAGATTTCGGGAAACCAAAGAAGACTGACACGAATTTGAGGCCAGTGTAGGCTACCTAATGAGTTCTAGGCCAGTCATAGCTACATTGTGAGACCCTGTCTTAAAAATCAAACAAAACTGTGGCTCAGAGGTTAAAACATATTTACCATTCTTGCAGAGGACCCAGGTTTGTATCCCAGTACCCATAGCAGGTGGTGCCTCACAGCTACAGCTTCAGAAGATCTGACACCTGGCATCCTCAGGCACCTAGACACATAGACACACACAATAATAAAAACAAATCTTTGAAAATTGCTAGTATTTGTTGAGTGCTATAGTAGTGCACTATTATAAGATTCAGGCATTATATTTTACTATGGAATGATATAGGTGGAACTCTTTGGATAGTACTTTTAGGTCAAGAATTGCTCCATAGGCTTTGCTAACTCATTCAGGCTTTGTTACTGGCTCTCCGAAGCAGGGGCTATTGCTGTGTTTTGCAGATGGAGCAAAGGGTGTGCATTATCATGAAGTAACTTGTCTACTGTGAAGTGGCTAGAATGTATAGAGTAGAAAACCAGAATCTGAATCAAGACAGGAGGGCTGCAGCATGGAAAGGACCTGAGAGATCAACTAGACTAAGATCAGGGCCTGCATCCTGCCTGTCTGCAACCTTTATTAAGGCAAGCATTCTTTGTCTGGTGTCTATTGGTGCAGAATCATAGGTTAGTAGCATTGTGACATGGTAGAAAAGTCTGCACCAGGAATCAAAAATGCCAGTCTTGGGGGGCAGTAACTGACTTTTCTTATTCTTCATTTCATCGTCCCTAATCTGGGCATTTTAGTCAGTGTCCTGTCTGTCTAGAGTACCTTTACCCATCACCTTATTCATCTGTTCTGCCTCCTTAAGGTAAAATGAGTTGTAAATAGAAGAGGTATAAGGATTGTTGTCGCTTTTTTTGAAGTATTTGCTTTTTTCTTTCAGTAGTGTGTTATCAAGAATGAACTATAAAAATAATTCTGATTTACTTGGAATACTTAAGGCATAGATGCTGTAATAATTCTACGCATGATCTCCTCATGCTATTTTCATGCACAGCTCTAGTACCCAAGTATTGTATCAAATAGAAGTAATATTCATTTCCATTTTCTGCCCTAGTGAACAGGAAATGTAGCAGGCACGGATAATCCAAAATAATTGGCTACTTTTGGACATGCATGTTTTTGTCCTTAATCTGAGTATGCATAGCTGAGAATTCAGAGTACCATCAAAGTATCGAGTGCCTTTGGAAGACTCAGTTTAAAATGAGAGCCTTTCTCAGACCTTTGTCATCCCACCCTTTTTATTCTAGTTCAGGAGTCCAGTAGAAAGCAAAGTGCCTTCTCCATTCCTGTCCTGCTTCTCCTGTGCACAACATGATAGATGCACAGGGTCAGGAGGTATGGAAAGATAAGCTGGTGCCTTTTCCTTTAAAAATGTGTTTGTGTGGGTTTTTTTTTTTTGTATTTGTGTGTGTGTGTGTGGGGGGGGGGGCACAGACACAGACACAGACAGAGAATAGGCCAGGGGAATTGACTCTTTTCCTTCTACCATGTGAGGCCCCGCAGTCAATCCCCGGTCATTGAGCTTGGTAGCAGGAACCTTTACTTACTATGCCATCATGCCATGCCTGATTTTTTTTCGTCTTTTCCTTTCTTTTTTCTTTTTGAAATAGGGTCTGCCCAAGCTGGAGAGATGATTCAGCAATTAAGAGCACTTACTGCTTTTGTAGAGGACTGGGTTCAGTTCCTAGCACCCATATAGTGACTGACAACTATCTTTAATTCCAGTTCCAAAGAATCTGACTTCTTTGAGCTCCAGGATGCCAGTGGTACATATACATACATTCAAGCACACACATGCATATAAAGTTAATATTTAAAATATAAAATAAAAATAGGATCTTCCTATGTAGCCTCTGCTGGCCTTGAATTTGCTACGTAACCCAGTCTGGCCTTGAACTTGGGATCCTCCTCTCTTTGTTTGCTTGCTTTTGTTGTTTTTCAAGACAGGGTTTCTCTGTGTAGTCCTGGCTGTCCTGGAACTCACTCTGTAGACTAGACTTGCCTTGGATGCAGAGATCCTCTGTCTTTTGAGTGCTGGAACTAAAGGTGTTCACCACCACCACCTCACTGATCCTCCTGTCTTAACCTCCATTGTGTTAGAAGTACAGGGGCACCATTCCTGGCTGAGAAGTGCTTCCTGTTTAGGGGATAGCTAGGATCTGGAAGGAACTCAGTAAATCTCTTCTTACTTGAGCTGTGATAACAATAAGAAGGTGCCCAACTGGGTGTTGAAATATTTGGGCTTTTGAGGTTGAGATCATCCTGAATAAGGTATCTGTACACTGAGAGTCACAAAAATCTGTGGTGTGTGTGTGTGTGTGTGTGTGTGTGTGTGTGTGTGTGCCCTTGAGTTTGTGCTTGTTCAGCCAACGGTGCCAGTTTGTCTTGGTCTGTTCTGTGCATTCTACTTCCTAGAAGAGAATACTATAAATTGGATGGCTGGGAAGTTCAAGACCAAGGCCTGTGTAGTGTCTGGTGATGACTTGCTTTTCTGGGTGCTTTTCTGTTTGTAATTGGTTCGTTCACATCGGGTCATCCTTCCATAGTGGAAGGAGTGAAGGATAGATGCCTTTGGGGCTTCTTTCTGTTCAGGAGGATGGATCCCTCTCATATCTAACCACTTTCCAAAATCCCCGTCTCTTAACACTATCACATTGGTCATTAGGATTCAGCATGCAGTTTTTAAGGAACAGAAACACTGGACCACAGAAGGGCCATCGTCTTTTCTGTTTCTGTCCATTAATGATGGTGGGATATGTTTCTTTTGAGCTTACTGTTACTCATGTGGTGTTCTGCATGGGGATGAGTCATGATACTGCTGTAGCTCAGTCCAAGTAGTTCATTTAGAGGGGAAAGTGGCCTGTATTTAAATGGAATATTTAAATTTTTTAAAAGGTTATCAAGTTAAAGAGGAAATAGGATTGTGTATATTAATAAAAATAGTTAACCATTTTGGGTGAGCCTTGTTTGTCTAGATGCTATACTTGAGTATTCTCATGTGTTACATAATGTGGCAAAAGCATGTATCGTCTCTCTTTTACAGACATAAAACAAGCTCAAAGGAGGTATAGTGGCATACTCAAGGTTACACGGTTATAAAGTGATGTCACAATTAAAACCAAGATGTGACTAATTTCAAAGCTTGGGATCTATCAGGAGCTATCCAGCACTGACTCAGTGGCTGGAGATCCCATGGGAACAGACTTAGGTGACAGGGCGTGGCTGAGCACCCCAGCTGTTCCCACTTCCTTACAGAGGAGGACTTGAAGCAGAAAGTAAGACATTACTTCCTGGAGCTGTTGTGAAGTGAATGTCTTACTGTGAAAATCATGTTCCTTGTGATTGTCTTCACATTCTGTCTCTCTGAGTGTTTTCCAGCTCAGACAAGGCCATTCTTGTCATTTTGTTTCTAGTGAAGTCCCAACATGCAGGGATCTGAGGACTTGTAATTGCTGTCCTTAAGCAAATTGGGATTTAAGCAGAGAAAGTTTCAGTGTGTTTCAACATTATGGTGTGCTATACCTTCAGTGTGATGGTGGCTGTGCTGCATCTGTCACTCACTATCACAAGGCCTCCTGGAATAGTGCAGGCCTAAACATGACCCAGAGTGCAACACATCAGAGCCACCTGGTGACCACCTCTCCAGCCCATCAATGCTGATTTCTAAACATGGCTGCTCTTTGAAAAAAATATCTTGCAGGGCTTACATGGGGGACTAATGTGATCCTTTTGCAGTGTGGAAACATTGTAACCGTCAGTCAGGTGATGGGATATGAAGGCCAGGAAAGAACTCATCTTCTTGAAATGGTTGTCTACCTCTGATTGCTTGTGGAGAAATGAGGACTAGTGGGCTGAGAATGTAGCTCAGCAGGAGAGCACCTGCCTAACTAACATGAGACTATGGGTTCCAGTCTGGGCACTGCAAAAAGAAAAAACCATGTCTGTCCATGTGTACCTGAAAGTTTGACAAACTCATGCTCTTTCCACCTGTTGGGTTTTTTGAAGTGATTATGTTGATTTTAAGTTTCAAAAGAATATATTTGTAAACCTAACAGTTTATGAAACTGTGTTTTGCAGTTGATTCACCTTGACGAGGATTGTGTAACAGAGCTTTCTGTACATCACCGCAATAACAGGCAAACAATGGAGGATTTAATTTCATTGGTAAGAAATTTTCTTTGGTAAGTTCTGGTACAGCATGAAATTAAAGGTCTGGGACCTACATAGTAGAAGGAGATTGTGGACCCTCTGACCTCCAGATGTGTACCCCGCTTCCAAGTAAACCTTAAATAAACATTAAAAAGCTTAAAACTACTTTCAGTTTTCTAGGGATAGACACCTCTTTCTAACGGGCAAACCATCAGTATTAGACATTTGCTTTCAAAAGACAGAGCAACCTAGAAGGTCAGGAGGCTGTAGTTGCATTGACTCCCCTCCTTCTCACCTTCCCTGTGCATCATAGCAAGAGGAGTAGAAAGTGACTATGGCACAAAACGTTATAGAAATGTCTTTTTTTCCCCTTTCTTTTTGTTAAGGGAAAGGGAGAGGTATAGGTATGTTTAGAAAAGAGCTATGAGCTATTGTGATGTGATTTCACCATAGAACATGTGGGCATTCTTAAAACTGAATAGAAAGTCTGTTTACAAAACATCTAAAATTTAGCACTAATCAGAAATTATTTACAGAGCTTGGACTAGGTGGGTAAAGTGACACCCTACTCCCTTTGTTTTGGTGGTACTGGGGATTAAACTCAGGGCCTCAGGTGTGCAAGATGAGTGCTCCTCCACTGAACTATACTTGCTCCTTTACTTTGTCTCTTCAGTGTTTAGTGTTTTCTTTCTTTCTTTCTTTCTTTCTTTCTTTCTTTCTTTCTT